TATATATATATATATATATATATATGCGTATTGTAACCCTAAGGGGGTGATTCTATACTCTTTTCTGAAATTTAAGAAAGTTGTCGCTCTGTTCCTGAGAGCGTAAACATCTTTGTCGAACCTCGTTAAATCTCTGTGTTTCTTTCTGAATTTCTTGTTTTTCTTTGCCCTAAAATTCTCAACACTTTTATAAATAAGTGCATCTCTTGAACAAATTCATCTCCTAGGAGAGTTTATCACTAAGACAAGTTCAATTTTTGAATGAATTTATCTCATAGAAGATTTGTGTTTTTGAATGAATTCATCTCCGGAGAGAGTTCATCTTTTAGGTGAGGTCATCACTTGGGAAAGTTCATCTTCTGGAAGACTCTTAAAGAATTTTTCTACGGGGCGAGTTCATCTCCTAGGAGAGTTTATCGTTTAGTTGAGTTTATCTCTTGGGAGCGTTCATCCACTGAATGAGTTCACCTCCTAGACGAGTTCATTTTTGGGAGAGTTGATCCGCTAAAAGAGTTATTTTTTTTGGATGAGTTGACTCGTTGTGCACCTTAAACTTAGTTGAAGGGCATTCAACCATGCATATTTTGTTCATCGATTTTCTTATATATTTGGAAGTTAAGTTTTTTTTTTAAAAAAAAATAGTATGATAAAAATTTTATTCATTGCTTAGCAATGAAAACTATGTATTGCTTATATCTTTGTAGGGCATGTATATGTTCTCCTGTCCTAAAAATGAATTTATTTGATGATTATTTTTTAGAATTATTTAAGTAAAAAAATGAGCAGTGGATTCCACTAAATGCAGGCTTTCAGTCTATCCAGAATCTCTTAGCTCTTCTATAGAGAACCATCTTAGTAGCTCTTTGGCTACACATGCAGGATTCCCTTCTCGAGGATCCGAGGTATTTTAGCTCGTCTTTAGGGAGTAGCCACAACAAGAAAGATATTAATTATAGCATCACTTGTAGGGTCCAAAAATTTATGATGCAAACTTTGGCGTCAGATTTGTGTTGACGCAAACCATTTGCATCGGATTTTTGAGCAAGGTCATTCCAAGTAATAATAAAACTTGGGAGCAATGAGTTCAACCACATCTTTGCCTTGTCTATCAAAATAATGGAAACAACCTCAGCCTAATATTATTTTTAGAGATGTCATTTACACTTGAAGGTTGCAAACATTTTTAAGAAGCCAACAATGTGTAAATTTGGGTCTTCTATGGTGAGCACCCAAACTGAGTGTTTGACTGTTTAGATGACTGAAAGTTTCGATTCAAAGTTATTAGCATGGATGATCGGTCTATTAATACTCAAAAGTACCCTACCTATTGAGGTATTGACAAAAATTTAAAAGTGGCCAAGGTTGATCATCTTCTACCGGTGGATTTGCCATGAAATCTAGATTGTTCTTTCTTTTCAATTTATTTAATTTTTTTACTATTTTTTTCTAAATTTGAGGGTGAAATGAAACTAAACTCACTAAGTTAAACCCTGTGCATACAACTCTAGTGCACATAATGACCCATCACTAACAATTAAAACAACTACTAATAACCACAACTATAATGATTAACTATAAAAAAGTAGATAAAGATGTAATGAAAACACAAAGTAAAACAACAGTTTTGTAGCGTTGAACTAGTAATGATGTGGCACTAACAATGTGGCATTGCAGCACTAAGCAAATAGCACTATGGCTCTATTCAACAATTTACAAAATTACATGAAAAAAACGCAACTTCACGAATATACCCCCAACATTGCATACTGGGCATGGGTAGCTCCCCTTCTGCATACCGAGTATAGAAACAGGATAGGATTTACTAAATATATTAATGTTGGGGTGTTGAATATGTAAATACATAGGAATTGTGTGGTGTGCATATAAATGCACCCAAATTAGATAATGTTTAAAAGAATAACAGCATGCATTAGAAAATTAATCACATTTCAACATAGTTTTTTTTTTTTTTTTTTTTTCATGGCGGCATTTAGAGTATAATGAATAGAAAGCCGTTGAATTTCAGCGTCTCCCCGCCATTTTCTCTCCTTCCCAACCGAGAATCACATTTCCTCTCCCCATCGCTGGCCTAATTCCTACCACCAAACCCATCAAACAAGCAAAAATCTCTTTTTTTAAAAAAAAAAAAAAATTGAACGGATTAAGCTTCCAGTCATGATCTGTACATACTCACAAATCCTTAGCTTCAAAACAGAAATTTGATCGGACCGAAGGCCACCGGATCTTCGAAATGTCTCTCGCACCATGTAAGTCCGGCAACATTTGCTTCTGGTTCATTACTTTCGTCTTCCTCCTCCTCATCGTAGCAGGCGGCGCCATCCTCGTTATATACATTACGTTTCCGGAGACGGAAGGTTCCGGCTGGCTCGCGGTGGCCGGCATTGTTCTTATTGGGGTCCCCTGGCTTTTCTGGATCATGGCTTGCCTGTATCGTGCTTTCTTCTCTTGTCAAAAGCTGGGCGCCGTTGTCCCGCTGTCGACTGGTGTTGAGATCAAGTCCGGCGATGTTGGGGCGAGCTAGTCTCGCCGGGAGAAATTGGCGGGGGCGGCGGCGGGCATGGAAGGATGCATGGGATTCGAGATGTGATTAATGGAGTACAGTATATTTATAAGTTTGATTATTTATAATAAAATTTAGAGTATTTTTGAGATTTGATTTTTATTGTTGTTTGTCTTAAAAAAAAAGGATATTTTGAAATTTTTTTTAAAATTATTTGTAAGATATTACGAGACATTTTAAATTTTGAATTTTTTTATGTTTTGACGTCAAATTTTTTTAGTTGCTATGTTCAAAATAATGTATTTTGTTAATTTTGAGCTTTTTACTTTGAAAGGATGGATTTACTTCTAACAATTATTGATTTGCATGAACAACCCATGCAAAATTTTCATATTATTGTAGAAAAGACTCAATTTTGTAGAGTTAAAGATAACTTTTCTGAAAACATTTAGAATGCTTGCGGGTGAGATTAGAGTTGTGTTCCAGTGGTTGGAATTTTTAACTTCATATTACTAATTTTATTAATCTTTTCACTCTCTCAATCATCATTGAAAAAAATAAAAAATAAAAATAAAAAAGCTTAACCTAAGACACCCATTGGAAGCATCATCTTTTGTTATTGTTGTTCATCATTTTGTTCATGGGATCTTAACAAACACTTGCATTTCAATCACTTTGATTGCTAACATGACAATCCATTTAAATCATGGTGAATGCATTGTAGTGCCGGCAAGTTATCCTAATTCATGTCAAAATTTTGAGATATTTGAATCTACACTGCTGTTACATGAGATGAATTAGCATGAATTCATCTTTATAAATGCTTTTCAATCCATTTAAATCATGGTCTTTGGAAGCTTTTACAGAAATAAAGATTACTGAAGTTCCTTTATCAAACCAAGTAAATTACAAGGATTACCAGCAATCTATGATTGCAACATCAGAAGCTAAGACTATTCAACATATCAATAATTATCTACAAAACAGAAGAATATACGATGATTATCGAAATTGCAATCCCAAGCTCACCTTCAAAACCTTCCATTCCTCCAGCCATATTTTGTAACAAGAATTAGGTGCCAAAACATCAACAGACACCTCCTTCTTCTCAACCAAGGTCCTTGCATAACAATCAAAAGCATTCAGCTTTTCACAGAGTAGCTTCAATTTGAACATATTTCCATGGCAATTACCGCTCGCCTCTTCCAGCCACTCCCTCGCCTCTTCAACCCTCGCCCAGAAGCAAGGATCCTGAGTGAGCCCGGCAAACTTGCTCCTCCTCCTTTCATCCTTCTCAAATAGCTCCTTGTGTCTTTCCCTCCACCATTTATCAAAAACATTATACCTCCTCTCCCTTCCATGAGCAAGATAATGTCCCTTGGTTTTGTGCATCTGAACTCTATAGTATTCAGCAATGTCCAATGGCTCAACAAGAAGCTGGTAGAAGTGAGCAGCATTTACCCATTTGGCTCTTTTGTGGACATCATGAGGGAGTTGATTGCTGTGAACCATGTCAACCAGATCATCCCAGAAACATGCAAGCTTGACTCGATTCATGTTCACTTTGGAGTCTCTCTTAGACGCTTTCCTTCGCTTGAACGAATCATAGTAGCCCATGTCGCTATCGCAGCATGCCTTGTACCACTCAATTTGAGCACGGCACGGCGTAACTTTAGCTAGTCTGACAGAGAGATTAGTGCAGTTTAGGGCGGGGCTTCGACCAGTTTTCACCGACATCTCCAAACATTCTCTGGCATCCGTGGCTCTCCTGTCCTGTAATGAAAACTCCAATCATTCCACATTTCCAGTTCTAGTGAAATAAAACATAAAAAGTACTACTCACTACTACATTTCTCATACTCCTTGATTTCAGGAATGGACGGTTTTTAGGATAGAATCCATCCTGTTAATAAATCTGAATTTTATTTGAATCATGAAGTTTCAGCTAGCTTTAGGATCATAATAGCTTACCTCAACTCCAATACCAGAGGCTTTTAGTGCTAGCGAGATTCCAGCAGCATAATTAGAGCTTGGAACACAATCAACCAAATCAATTTTCTTTTTTAGCAGTAACTGCTGTGAGGCATTCATCACCAAGCCACCATAGCATAAATGTTCCTCCTCGAGACTCAATTTTGCGCAGCCTGTCATAAATGTCAAGCAAAGCATTCGGACTACGGAAACCGGGTCATCGATGCAGATCATGCCTTCAGCCGAACATAATGCATAGCATCCAAATGGCCTGAACTTGCTGATTAGTTGAGAAGAACAGGTGAGCATCTGCTCGGTGCACAGTGGAGTAATTTGGTTTGTAAAGAACTGATGAAGCTCAGCTTTGATAGCACCAGAAGTCTGTGAATAAGGCTTTGGAAGTAGAGGGAAAGCCATGTGGAATTGGCATGATTTTAGCAGGCTAATGATTAGGTGCGGAAAATCGGAATTTTGTTGGCAGAAGAGAAGCCTTGGCACAACATCGTGCTGAGAAACAATGTGGCAGAATTTTCCAGTCCATCTCTCACGAAGAATGAACTGTGATAAGGCCTCATTGCCAAGGAGTGGACTCCCAAATGTGATGCAAAGAAGGGAGGATTGTTTTGAAGAGAAGTTCAAAAGAGAGCACAGGAAGTATAGGGCGACAAGCGAAGCTAAGGATCCTCCAACTGAGTGTCCTGTGATTATTACCATCTTATTACCCGTCTTCATCATCTCCACGAGTCTCTAAGAGATTGGACAGAATGAAAAATCAGAGCTTTTTTCCCTAGCAAATGATTCTTAAATTCTATATCAGAAAGCAAGAGGGGTATTGCCATATTGGTTTCCTGTGGATATAAAGCATGCTTAGAACAAAAATGAATTTTCAAAACAAGTTTTCTAAACTCAAGCAAGCAAATAAACCCTAATTCTATCATTCTGTACCCTTAATCCTCAGATAGAGAAGTTAAAACTGAAAACATTAACTTCAGCTCAGATTGGACTGTTTTAAAACTAATCTTCCTCAATCTCCAAAGATCCCAATATTTAAGATCCTAATTCATTCCTTTCATCAAAATTTATGTTATTAATGCTCGACATAGATAAAGTTAGTATGAACTAAGGAGAGGATTTCCCAACATCCCTGTTTAGCTAAACCCCAAACAGAATTTTGTTCAGTAGTCAAGCTGTGCTTTGCAACTACTAATAAAACCCTAATTTAAAAAATCTGTCCTTCCCCCTCCGTTGATTCCTCATATTGGAGCAAAAATGCTTCAAATACATCAATTTTAGATTTTAAGCAGCAGGTATTCAAGCTCTTCCAGATGATTGAAGAAAACACGAGCCTACACCAAGTAAACAAAGACAAAATTTATAAATTCCTGGCTAAAAGTAGACAAAAACAAAAGCCCGTTTTGTTCTTGATGGCCGCAAGAGAAATGAAACTTACCCAGAACTGAGGAGTGTCGAAGATGGAGATGAAGAGTTGAAGCGCACAAGCCTGAACAAGCACCGGCTCTCCATCGCCTTCCTCGCTCACCAATTGGGAGAAGAGCTCACGGCCGCAAGCGGAGGCGAGTGGCATGGCAGAGAAGAACCAATCGCTGCCAATCGTCGATTGAATATAGCCGGCACCAGAGAAGGCCACGTAGAGGATCCCGTCCACCTCTTCTGCGGTGAAGTCCGCCTTGGCGGCTGCCGCGGCAGCCGCCTGCCGCTGCAGCGAGGCCGCACTGTCGCCATGCCAGCGCGAGCAGCTGTGAGGATAAGAGCTCCGCTCCCAGCACGTGACTCGTCTCAAACCTTCGAAACAATAACAATTTCAGAGAGAGAGAGACAGAGAGAGAGAGAGAGAGAGAGAGAGAGAGAGAGAGAGAGAGAGAGAGAGAGAGAGAGAGAGAGAGAGAGAGAGAGAGAGAGAGAGAGAGAGAGAATGAGAGAGAAGGAGAAAGAGAGGGAGAAGGGTGAAGCTTACACGGAATGCTTGTCTTCGCAGTGGACTTCCATGGCGGCAATAGCAGCAGATCACCGGGTTCAGAGTGTTATGCGTTCGATGCACCTTTTTTTTTTTACATGTACGCTTCTATATCTATATAAAAAAATATAGAATTCTGACTTAAATAACGGGATAGGAGTTGCTGCTCTTAGCCCCATCATATGGTTCGAGACTATGTCCATCTCAAAGCTCATGTATGTGCCCTATTTCTAATATAGACTCAACACTATATTAAATATATTTGAAAGAGAAAATAAAGACTCAACCTGCAAAAGATTAGTTTAACTCATGCAATCGTAACTGAGTTGTGTTTCTTTTATCGCGAGCTACATAGCACCTGCAAACAAAGGATAAGTAGAAATCATTGCATGCTCTTCTTTTAATGTTAACAAGTGTGTGCATATATTTAAACACGATCCCGTGCAAAAAAACACCATAACATACCACCATGCATATTAAAATAGTAAATATGCAAGCATGTCAAAAACACAAAAAAAAAAAAAAATAATGTCTGGTTAGGGCAATCAAACCAACGTAAATATATAGTTAGGGCAACAAAACCAGCATTTGGCCTCGATCGTCCGACACGCAACACCAACTGCCATTTTTTTATCTTTATCACTCAACCATCATCTCTTATCCCGCATTCGATGTCAACCTACCATCATAAAATAATCATTGTTATTCAAGGGTCATCATCCGACCACAACTGCTCAACCGCTATCACTCAATCACATCATTCAGTCACCATTGCTCAACTGCAATTATTGTTGCCTAATTATTTTCATTCATTTGTCATGATCTAACTACAATCATCATTATCTAACCATACGTATCAGAATACTATAATCATCGATTAAAAATCATCCTAACATCATCTTCTGATTGTTATCATTCGAGCACTACAGTTAATCGTTATCATTATCTCTCTCCTATTATAAATTTTGTAAACTTTATAAGAGATTAAGTATGAATAAATTACTTTATAATTTCATTTTCATTTATGAGGGGATGAACATAGCTTCGTGATTATACTTAACACAATAGCAAAATGAAAACTACGATGTCTTATATGCTCTCCCTTTCTTCTATATGTGTGTAAGGGTCTATTTAGAGCAGTTGCAGCTTATTGATAAGCTGTTGAAAAATGATCTATTGTTCAAAAAACTGCGGTGACTATTACAATTTATTATTATTATTATTGGCTAAAACCAGATCGCAGCTTGAAAGCTGCCACAGTAGCTAGCCAAGAACGTTCTGAAAATGCTGATTTCAGCGGTTTGAAAATGCAGCTTTTTGAAAAACTGTCAAAAGTCACTTTACCCAAACAATTTTTGATGCATTTTCAAAACACTCCGCACTAAGGGGCTTATAATGTCTTATATGTTCTCCCCTTCTATATATGTGTAAGTCCTCGTGCAAAATTAAAATATAAAATTCTCACTTTATTGGTATAAATTGTATAATAATAATAATTTTTTTTATTGAAGAAATTCAACCAAAATGAAAGAGTACCACTGGTCTTTTATTAAACAATTTAGATCAAAACTTTGACTAAAGCTCCACTACTAGTTTGCCACGTGGACTATGTTGACTGTTGACTATCACATTTTAGTAGTGATTAAATGTGATATTTACTTTGGAACCTTCGAATGATATGTCCTTTTCATCATTAAAGTTTCCTTAGTTGATAGCTTGCTTTAATAAATTGGTCAATGTTAAACTTTAAGAAGACACATAAATTTTCATAAAAAAACCATGTTTAATCCTTTTATTGCATTGCCTAATAATTTTATTGAATTCTAATATTACATTGTGGAAGGATTTGAATTCAATTTAATTTATAAATTGCAATTTATTGAGGTTTAATGGGGTGTTTAGACAACACTTAATCAACAAAAAGATATTACATCAAGAGCCTTCATGTAGAAATACAATAGAACTCCAATGAAATTAGCCACGTGTCCGGAAGAGGTAGACCATATATTAAAGTATAGACGTGCGCAATTTCATTCGAGTCTTAATGCAGTTCTACATCAGGGCTTCTAATATAATACTTTTTCGTTAAGAAGCAGGAACTTCTAATTAGCATTCGGAGTAATATAATAAATACTAAATTGGTATTCATTGATTGGCTATATATATATATATATATATACCACACAAATCTTTTGTACTTGCCCATCAAACATCTAAAATTTGATATTTACATGTATAACACTAGTGCGTAAACTTATGCATGAAAAAAATGTATTTTATATTTTAAAAACAAGTAATAATGATATTTAAGACGTGGCATTAAAAAATTAAGTGTTATGTATGTAAATACGAAAGAAATGTAAATTTTAATGATATTTTTAAAAAGACTTGGATGCATGCCAATCAATTCTTATGTATTTACATATATAACACCTAAACTTCAATTCTTATATGTATGCCACGCTACTTATGTATTGAAAGCTGTATTTCTCTTTTTAAGAATTACAATTGTGGTATATTTTTTTGTATATGATATAAAAGATTTGGCTGATATAAAGGTAAGAAGTAAAGTTTAGGTGTTAGATATGTAAATAAATATGAATTAGGTGGTATGTATGTAAATGTCCCAAAATTATATTCTTTTAACTTTGAATGCAAGTGAGAGTCGGTCGGTCAATAGACGCGCTTGTTGTCACCATTAAAATAGCACTCATTAGTCAATTTCATCACCGGTGCATTCCCACTGCTTTTTGAATGGTCAAGATCTTCTCTAAAAAGAACATGACTGAAAGCTATGTGACAATATTGGGTGTGATTGATTATATAATTCAACTTATTAATCAAGATGTGAGTTGAGCTCGTCGGGCCACGAGCTTGAGCTCAGGCTTAATTTACAGCTTGAATGATGTCCGAGCTCGACCTTAACTCGAATTAGAATCAACTCTTTTATAGCCCTAACTAAAATTATCTAGATTAAAAAAAAAATCTTACAACCTCACAATCCAAGCTTAAAATAATGTAACATAATCCACGTAAAAAAAGATCTCAGCATTACAAAAGTACATATTAGTCCTCTCATGATTGACTTTTCAGAGGAATTTTTTAATAATTACAGAGTTAATCACATATAATAAGATCGGTGGATTGATTTCATCGTAAGAGATCACCGCCCTGTGGAAAATCTTATGGCAAGTTCCTCATATCGCTTGAACAAAAAACCTCTCTAGGTATTGTCAAGCCCGAACTCGATCAGCCATTTTTTTCTCCCAAGCCTTTCATTGTCTTGACATTCGTGCTTACATAATTTATATGTACAATAAGATATTATATTATAAAGTTGGTCTACGGGTTGTTCGGTTTGCTCAGAATGTCATGCCATGCATTTGGAATGGAGCGGATTCCAAATTTTACTCGTTTGGTTGGCTGAAAAAGGAAGTCGGTGCAAGAATTTTACATGCAACTAGTAATTCATTTTGAGTATATTTGAAATTCATCAAATTTGGTGATTTCCAAATACACTGCAAATGGTAGCGATCACTGCACCCCACTGCAGCCATCTTGTCCACCCATTGCAATGTCATCTCCGACGACCACCATAATTTCCCCTCCCACCACCATTGTTGTTGTAGTTGCTTGCTCATTGTCATTGTGTCATCGCATCCCCCAGCCCCCGCCTGTCATCACCGTCGCGCCACCTCGACTATCGCCACCCAGCACCCATTATCTATCTTGCCACTGCTGCCTTGATTGTTTTGCCTGTCACTGCTATTACCCAACAACCTACACCTCTCTCCATCTTCATTTTTATCGACATTGAATTCACTTTTTCTTAAAAGCAAAGAAAAATATGTAGAGTTATGTAATTATTTCCTATTGAACAAAACAACTAAAAGATTCAAAATACAACATTACTTTTATGCTGCATTCCTTTCTGCACTGTATCATTTTGAGCCTTCAAACTTATTTTTTGTAACGATATTGATGACATCCATCACCTCGTAGTCTATATTATAAATCATGATCATTTGGTCATTCATACAGCATGCCCAAAAATCTTGTCATTCATACACTAGCAAATCATGATTAATTTGTTGAATTTGATTGATTGAATTCATTCATGAAAATCCTCTAAAAACTAGGCTATACCGAGGTGTTTGATGGACTCTCACCTCAAAAATAGATTATTCAATATTAGCCCATTGTCCAATCTCTAGCATGAAACCAAAGAGACCAACAGCTCTCCTGAAATTCCATTAAACCACCAACATTAAGAAGAAAACAAAAAAAATTAAGAAAATTAATCCTTCCCACTCTGGTCATTAATGTTCCTAACAGGTCCCTTAAACCATTTTCTAGCATCCAAAATCCACCAAAACATAATCAGAGTCAGGCATAGTGCCAAAGCTACTGGTGCATAATTGAAAGTATCAAACTTTATAGGATAAGAGGTCGGCAATAGGAAGACAGAGCAAGTGTAGCAGATCCATAAGAAAGCAACCAAACATATTGGCCTGCTTGCTCTACCCAAATAGAAAGGGCCAGGATTGAAGCTCCTCTCAGGCATGACCATCCTCGCGAAGATCGGTATTGCGTAGCCGCCGACCCATCCGACGGTGCAGATGGATGCGATAGCGGTGAAGACGACATTTACTTTGAGGATGGGAAGCCCCATGAGGATGACAATGGCTGCACATAGCCACACTGCATTCGATGGAACTTTGTATTTTGGATGAATTTTGCGCCATAGGGACGAGAAAGGAACTCCCTTGTCTCGAGATAATGCATAAACCTACAAAGTAAATGGCTAGTGGTTATTGTTATTTGTAAACCAGGATTGAAGTTTAGAGGTTAGATATGTAAATTCATAGGAATTGAGTGGTATGTAGGTAATATTCCTAACATGATTCTGAATTTGAATGAGTTTTGATAATCATGAGAATAGACATAATGGTAAGAGTAAGGCCAATTGTGACACAAGGCGAGTGTGAAGCCTATGAATGGTAGTTTTAACATGAAAGCTTAGTAATCTATGAACTAGCTTTTGATGATAAAAAGCATATATTAAAATGCCTTATGATCCCTTGAGAGCTTAATGCTGGTACATCTTTCTAAAAAAGAAATTATGAGAGCTTAAAGCCTAGGCCTATTGTTTTTTTCTTTTTTCTTATTTAGTTTTATTTTATTTATTTATTTTGTTTTTTTTTTTATTTTCAATTTCTCTCTCAAACCTCTACGATTACTTTTCATTGTTCATTTTTTATTGATGAATCTATCTATATCATATGATTTTACAATAGATCTATTGATTTTCATTGCTTTGCATCGACATCAGCCTCGATCCACTCATTCGGGTGAATATTCTTTGCAAGCCTCGCTTATGAACAAATCACATCATTCAATAATTCATGCAATCATAAACGTCTCGCGATTTTTAAATTCATTTATAGATCTTGGCTTTGGCATTATGCCTTCATTTCAAGGCACTGTTATAAAACCATCATTCAATGTTCATCCCCATTTCATTTTCATCTTGTTTGAATCTCTTATAAATGTGTTTTTAGATCTCAATAACACAAAAAAAAAACTCTTGATGCATAAATGATCAGCTTATTTGTATCAAAACTATTGACTTACGTGCCTCATTTGATGTTCCTCATGACAGTCCTGAAGTATGGGTTATTGAACACTCCGAAAAACTCATTGATTGGATTAGTTTCGAAACTGACATTAGTTTATGTATATTATCCTAATAATCTCTACATTCTTCAATATTACTTCTTTCTATAATTGGGTTTGATGATTACAAATCTAGGATTATCTCTTAATCAAGAACAAAATTTAATCTCTAAATGTTAATATTTTCCATTCATAAAAAAAAAAAATGTGAAAACTTCATTTACCACTTACCACTCTTGCTGCACTGGTAGTAATTGAGAGCCCTCCAAAGAAGAAAGAACCCCAAATAACGAACAAAAAAACTATTGCTCCAGTTGAGTTGTGGTATCTCCCATGAAATGCATCATACAAAATTTGTGCAGGCACAAATGATCCAGCAGTTTCGTTGCTGACATCGAGTAGATAATCAAATTTCTGCATGACAAGTTTCTGCTGTTAACTAACCATTTGAGATCACTTTTATTTTATTTTTTCAATTTTTTATGTTTATTTTACTTTATCTATGTTTTGTTTTAAATTAAAACATGTTCGATTGAACTAATAGTTTTAAAAAACACTCAAATCATCTTTTAGGTGTTTTCAGTGCTTTCAAAAATAAGTTGATTTTTCCTTAAAACAAGTATACATGTAAAAATTATATAAACCAAGCATATTTTTAAAAATAAAAACAAGAAATAAAATTGATGCCAATAAAAATAATTAGTTAGCTGAAAACTTTCATGCATACAAATGCATTTGATTTAGTACCTGGATGCTAAAAGTGAGAGCCAGTACATAAGCCCATCCAAATATTGAAATTATTGCAATGCTAGAAAGAATGGCAATTGGGCCATTTTTATCAGCTCCTTTTGTTTCCTCCGTAAGATGTGCTGCAGCATCATATCCAAACAAGGAATACTGACTGACAAGAAATGATAAAATTACGGCATATGGCTTGCTACGTATCCCTGTGGAAGCCGGTGCCATCTCAAAATGGCCAAAGACATAGGAAGCTGGCTGTTTAGATGGAGCCACTAAAGGAAGCAATATGACCATGATTACACCTCCTGTGATCTGAGTGTTCAGAATGAGGAAACTGCTAATTAACATTATACGTCATTCTTATAATGATCATCATTAGTTATATAAGAATTATGGACATGATCACATGCATAATTCAGAAACATCAAGGTTTGATGAGATAAAGAGATCTCGATAGAGAGAGAGGAAGAGAAAGATATAGAGAGATAGAGAGAGAGGGAGAGATGCATGCATACATTCATTCATACATACATACATACATACATACATACACACGTACACACATAATTACATAAAAACATACATATGTATGTGTGTGTGTGTGTGAGGAAAAAGCCCTAATAGTACACTAAAAATATAAAGTTCCATACCACAAGATCCGCCGCCCTTACAACCCCATGGGGATCAATCATGGGCTCTAAGATTGGGCAGTAACTTATTGGCCCAATCCCTTTAACTTATAGTTAAGCCATGTACATCGCACCACAAACTTTTCGATTCAAGCCCAACAAAATTTGCATCACAAATTCTAACAAGTTATATGTTTGGATACTTAGGTAAATCCATATAGAATATGCAATTTTAAATTACCATAAAGAGATGTAATAGATATAAGAATTATAACATAGTTCACAAATAAGTCCATATTTCATATGGGTAAAATATCCTATATTTAGTAAGAGATCATATATAAATAATTGAGTAAAAGAAGCCTCTTTTAAAAGTTATATACCTTTGATAAAATCTCATATCTAGGTTAAACAAACATCATATATATATGATAAACCCCGGAATCTAAATCTCTAAATATTAAGCCATAAATGAATCATAGTTTTTGAGCATTAGATTATTGATCCTGGCATGGACTCTACCTGCCACCAAATTGAAATAATGTCAATGAAGGCAATAACTTGTAATGCAAATGTGTTGAGGATTGCCCATATGACTGTAAGGCCACAATACATAGCAAGAAATACTCCACGAGGAGCAAAGTAACCTCCACCTTTGTTTGTTCCTGTACATAGCAAAATAATGATTTGTAATGTTTGTGATCCCGCATAAGCCTGCCACAGAGAAAAAGGAATCAATCGGTCCCAAAAGGCTATACCTTACTGATAATGAATTATTAAAGTGAAAAACAACTAAATATGATGACTAACTAATAATAAAAACAATTCTGAATTATAACAGAGAGAGAATAAAATATGATGATAACAAGCGATCAGGCTAAAGAATGAAGTTCTCAGTATACATTAAATGTTGAAAATAGATTATGCCACTACATGCGATTGGTGACTATATTCATGCCCTTCATCTTGTAATTTATACTTTTCCCAATATATTTTATCTAATAATTTTATCTCTTTCAAATTAAAACCTATTATTGTTATGACTTTAGGTTATTAGTTATGCATCAATGAAAGAAGATCTTATAGACAAGTACTTCAAGTAGCTTGGAAAGTTGCTTAAGTTTGTAAAGTCATTTATTAGATTTATTTGTAGTTTATATCCATTCTAAGATGAATTACCGCAATGATTATATTTCAGTTCAATTATTAGTGAATAAATTACTTCGATATCATGGATATTTAGATGCCCCCATTTTACTATTGGTAGATGAATATTATTATGAAGATCTTAATACATCTATTGCCAAAATAAACAAAGAAAAAGAAATTGCCTATCTATGAGCATCTTAATACATCTTAATACATTTTAATACATCCAAAATGTAAGCAAATGCATTTAGATATTGTATGAATAATTCCATAACACATAATCAAGATGAAGCTCAACCTGTGTAGCAACTCCAGCAATAAGACCAATTGTCTCCAGCCATGCACAGCACCAAGAAGCAAATGGCCCCCATACGTCACCATATTGGACCAGTTAAATGGGCAGCCCAGAAGTAAAGAGAGCCAGTAGTCTGTTTTAGCAAAAATAGGTGTAAATAATGACTTCTAACAGTGTACTTAATGAATTACATACATCCTTAATAACAACTTAATCCACATTTTAGATGCAAAAATAGGCTTAACTATGTTTCTATGCCAAAACTTGCATGATAATAATGGTGTTTATCCTTATTATTATAAGCAGGATAATAATTGATGAGCATATACCACTGAGGAAAAGTGTACAAACAGGAAGTTTATCTAGAAGTTATGCATTCAAATTGAATTTTTTTTAAACTTCCTAAACTCCATGGTTGGGAACTTAGAATCAAACAGCTGAGTTCCCAGATTCAAGGCTTGTGTATTCGGTTATGTGAATGAGTTTATCATTAAATTTTCTCAAAGTCCCCAAAAATTCTAATTGTGGCTAAACGCCTCCTTAAAATGGTTATTTTTTGAATCTTGACTAATCAAGAAATCATCATTTTAAAGTGCAGATTTAATTGGGGACTGCACTGCAGTATTACTCAAATAAGATGGTTCTTGCAGTATTTCTCAATTAAAAAAAAAGAAAAAAATAAAGAAGCAGAAATATTTTGTCAACCCAGAGCTATGACAAGCACACATACTGGAAAAGAAGAGCAAATCTCAGCCATGGCAATTCCAACAAACCAAGTGAAGAAGGAGACCAAAACCCATCCCCAAACAAGGCTTGCCGGTCCAGCATACAGCAGGCTTGAGCCGTACATCGGCGTGATCCCTGTAAATAGAGTCACTGTCGAGATCGAGATCGCGAGGGTTTTGAAAAGAGTCTGTTGAACGAAGAAGAAGAAGAAGATAACAAATACAATGATTATAAAGAAATCGTTGTAAGCTCAGTCGAGAGCAACAAAATTGGAGCCATGGATTTACCATCTCTCTTCTAAGCTCCTGCTTGTAGCCGAGCTCATTGAGGCGCTTCTCCCCTGAATCCATTGCCTCCATCTCAGAATAGAACAAGAAGAAACGGAACCTGCCTTAATTTGGAGGAGATCAAAGAAGAAGAGATGGAAGGCAACAGCTCTTGAGCATTGTTGGAAGCTCTGAGAGAGCAAGCCCCCGCCCGCGCCAGACTTTCTCTTTCTCTCTCTCTCTCTGCTTTTCGCGTTTCTCAAAGTTGGATCGCACACTCTCTCTCTCTCTCTCTCTCCATTTTTAAAAGTCCAAATTTCAACGGTTCGAGTGGGGAGGCCTGCCTATTTACACACATACCGCAAACTTCTTTAGTATTTACAAATCTAACACCTATACCTCAATTTTTACATCTATACCACCCAAATCTTTCATATCATGTCAAAAATACCACCACCATTTTACAAGAAGAAATATAAATACATATAGAATTATGTGATATGCATCTAAATCTTCCTATATTTTAATACCACCCAAATTTTCTTTAGGTATGCATAGTCAATACTCAATAGAATATTTACATATAAAAATTGAAGTTGAGGGGCTAGATATGTAAATATATAAAAATAGAGTTAGTATGTACTATAAATATTCCAATATTTTAATAAAATCCACCGCTGCAATCCATTTGATAACTGCTATGTTATTCAACTCTTTGATTTAGGGGTAGCGTAGTGATTGAAGATGTAATTTCTCATCATAACATTACAATCATATATATTAATTATCTTTTAGATCTTATTTTTCAATATATATATATATATATATGATTTAGAAAAAGCTTTTACGAAAAAAAATAAAAAAATAAAAAGAAATGTATATTAATTTTAAGAGATTTATATTATATTGATGATAAATTATCAGGTTTGACTTGATAGCTTTTAAATTACGTTGGCTTTATATATTTAATTATTTTGAAATGAGGGGACTTGTACAGAACACAACCAACTTCTTCCTTGGGCAAATTTATTGCATAAATTAATTAATATTAAAAAGTCATATTTTTATAAGCCTCAATTAATTGCAACTCTTTTTTTTGAGATTTAAGTCAAATATTTCTTTTTTAATATTTGTAGGTTACATGTAGGTTATAGGAAGGTTACAGGAGGCATAACGCGGATGTAACCCTCATATATCCTCTGAATAACCTCCCAACGTACGCAGAACTGCGTACGTAAGACATACGCAAATATTTTCCCTTCTCATAGGTGTTACCAAACTTGATTTCAATTACACGTGACTCAATATTTTCCATGCGCCCATTTGAAAAAAAAAAAAAAAAAAAAAGAACTTTTATTAATAGAATGCTGGCCTTAACATGCATCAAAATTCTACAAATAATACATGTAAAATTCAAAATATGAATTGATAGAAATTGGCGCTTGCAATGTAATTAATGAAAAATTTTAAAGCATGAAAAAAAAAATGAATTTTCCATTAATAAAATGAACAGAATGGAACATTTCTTTTAGGTTGCAGCAGCAGTTGGAGAAGCCTGTTATCATGGTGGACAGCCAAAAATACCAATCTTTACGCCATTGCTGAAACATACATAGCTCCACGAAATTGCTGAGTAATCTAGAAGATAACTCCATTGATAAATTGAATCTCCATTTTCTTCACTCTATACTTTATACTGCAACTGGTTCATCAACTGAACGAGGCATACCAGCAGTAACCTGCCAAAGTAATAATAAATGAAAAATCAGGATACACATGGAAGCGGTCCAGCTAACACCAATGAGAAAATCCATGAACATGCTGAATACAAGTTTCGTCGATTGTTACTGAAATTTTCAAAAAAAGACAACAAGATTCAGACCTTGGCGGATTTAAAGAGTTCATCAAGAACTTCAGACAAGGTTGGATGAGCATGAACCGCAAATTTTATATCCTGTGGGCAATAAACATGCACAACTTAGTTGAAGAGATGATAAAAAATGATAGAAAACATGCAATTGATATTTGAGATAACATTTTGTACATTGAAACTTATAAATCAATATACAAAATGAACATTATTCTAAAGTAATTTCAATCGAAATAGAGATAAGAGTAGCATTTTAGTTTTACCTGAATGCGGGTTCCCATGGCTATCGCATTTGATGCCTCGTGTATTAGGTCCGCGGCGTGCAGTCCTAATATGTGAACTCCAAGTATCTCCCCGTTATCAGGTCTATATATCAACTGCATGAACATTGATGATTACTCGGAAAGCAACTGATTTTAGAATGAGTAATATGTTGAAGAAAAAAAATTAAAAATAATATGTAATTTTACGGTGATATTAAAAATTTTTAATCAATATAATTAGATGATAAACTGATACCTAAGTATACTTGATAAAAACTTATTGATTAAGGAGTCTATCATACATTAAAAGAAGATTTACATAGATATCACTCAATTCCTTTGTATTCCATGTCTGACAACTGAAATTCAATTTTTACATATATGCCACCTCACCTTTGCATGAAAAGGTGTATCCCACATTTTAAAAGTTAAAATATTGATATTTTTATTTAATATGAAAGAATTTGGAAGTATAATAAAGCTCCTTTAAATAAAGCCTAACAAACTGGGAGTGTTAAATATAACAAAATATAGCGAAGGGATGGAAATCCAACGATTTACAATTTGAAAACCTTCAACAAGCCCGATGACAAAAAAGAAAACAAGGAGGAAAACAACAAGTAATTGAAACGCAATAAAATCACAAAAGACTTGGTAGTTGTTGTTTGCCTCATTGAGGATTAATGACTAGCTTCAAGCTCCACTAAATGCCTTGAAGTGATGCTGGAAAGCGCCCCTGGCGTGGGCACTAAAAGTGACCTCGAAGCGGGGCGCTCAAAAACCGTGGAGGCTAGAAGCCTCTCAAACCGTCCCAAAGGCGAGAGCCACAAACCATCGTGAAGGCAGGAACCCACGAATCATTGCGAAGGTGGGAGGGATTTGCGAAAGCTGATTTCGAACCAGTGACAGTCGTCCTTCCTCTGGTGAGTTCCTGCATATAGAAAGTACTTTTATAGATTTTCTTGCCTTCCCACACTTTTTTGTTGTGTAGAAGTTTCCTTTGTCTAGTAGGAGTTTATAAATTATTATCATCTATGTGTGGAGAGTCAGTTCTTGCTTTGTTTGTTTTTAGATCTCATGTGTGGCGTCCTTTTCCCTGTTTTGGGGTTGTATCCGAAGGGGGTGGTGGTACTCCGATTGTATCCTAATCTGATGGGCTGTTATGTCGTTTCATTTCATCTTTTCCCAATCTATCTCCTCCCCCCTCCTTCGTTGTCGGCCTCTCCCCTCCTTCGTTGTCGGCCTCTCCCCTCCTTCATTTCCTGCACTCAACCGCCCCATACCTGTAGCTTTACCTTGCTATCCAACCATCCTCCATCCTTCCCAGCACTCCCAGCCGACCGTTCCTCACCCACTACAAAATGCCCTTCCTGTCCAGCACCTTCCAACCACCCCTCCACCTATCGTCAATCACCTACAAACCTCCATATTTGTTGTCCCTGTAATTCTGCACTTTCCCCCTTGCCGCCACCACCCCTGCTAGCCATCCCAACCCACCTCGCCGGCCTCCACCATTAGAATAAACTTGAGAGGAGTTTGCTTGTGTCATTTTATATTTTGTTTTGTCCTTTCCCGTTTATGTCATGTTGTAACCCTGTTTTAATATTAATAATAGATTGCTTTCATGTTTCTACTATTTTTCGTACGAGTTTCAGTAACATTTGGTATCAAGTTAGCACGACCTTAGTCCCATCCTAGGGTTTCTGGCATCCGCCACACCCAAGCCACATCCACGTAATTTTTTTTCCGTTCAATCCCCACCCTAACCATGCTAAGGGAGGTATGAACCCCAATGAGATTAACGACTAGCTGAAATCAGTCGAATAAATTTTCGAGTATAAAAATGTACCAAAGAACAAACGAGTTAAGCTAGCTTCCCTTAAACTAAAAAAAAATACCTCCTTACAGTGGAAAAATCTACAAAAGTAGAGGAGATGAGAAGGAAGTGAGAAGATAACTAAGCGGGAAAAGATGAAGAAGACAATGTAGAAGAAGTACCTCCCACTACAGTATCGCTAGGACATGTTCCTAAAAATCCACAACTTGCAGCAACAGAATCTTTCAGTTGAGGAGTTCACGGCCCAATTCAACCACTTGAAGCTGAAGTGCGAGCTGACGGAGCCAGAGAAGCACACGATTGCCATGCACCTCGAGGGTCTAAAGTCTGTCATTAGCAATGGAGTACAAATGCAACTGTATTGGACATTGGGAGATGTCTAGAATTAACATTGAAGGTACAAAGATAACAAAAGTAAAGCAGACAACAATCATCATTCAAGCAGGGAGTCACCTACAATTACCATGACCGACAGAGGTACCCTGAGAGACACAAGCAAGCCCGAACAAGGGAATAATACTTCGGATCAAAACAAGAAGAAATAAAAGGATAACTCCTCCAACAAGCTATTTGCCAGGAAGTGCTACCGATGTCACGACTACGACCACATAGTCTGCAGTTGTCCCACGAGCAATTATGCTCACAGATCAAGGCACTGTGGAAGAGATGAGCGACAACGAGAAAGCTGAGCAATAGGGTGAGGTGCATCAACTCCCACCAAACAAAGGAGAAGCGCTCGTGATTCGATGAATCCTGCAAGCAGAGGATAAGAGGGAACCGAAGTGGCTTCATCAAAATATATTCTACACCCGCTGCACAATAAAAGGAAATGTATGCAACCTCATCATCGATAGTGAGAGCAGCAAGGAACGTGGCATCAACACAGATGGTATAGAAATTGGGGCTTGCAACTCAGAAGCATTACAAACCATATTCACTGACGTGGCCGAAGAGGAGAATCAGGTCAGCATCAACCAAAAATGCTTGGTAGAGTTTTCGATCAGAGGTTAGCTACAGAACCAAGTGTGGTATGACGTGGTTCTCATGGATCTCTGCCACCTTTTGTTGGGAAGACCGTGATAGTTTGAGTGAAAGACTTAACACGATGGATGCAAGAACACAGATTCATCACCAAGGATGGGAAGCACATCATTCTACTTCCTTCGGTGGAGCCCGAGATCACATGAAACCTCACCAACAGAGCAGTGTCAGTGGGACCAGTGTTAGTGATGGCACCAAATGAGAGGACTAAGAGATTCGCTTCAAATACAACACAGATACCCGAATTATTTCAGAGGTCTCATGATTGACATCACACCACCAACGCCACCACAGGATGGGAAAGTTCAAGATGCTCACATTGCACATCCGATTGAACCACTCGTGGGCTACTTTGGTAAGATTCAACGGTACAGGACAGCTAGAAAGGGGCACGTGCTCAAAAAATGGGCAGGCTTCCACGTGGCGTTGAGGGACAATGCAGTCGACAGTGGGATCCAGGTGCCACCAAGATTAAAGACAAGAACCAAAAGCTTCAACGAATGAGGTTGAAGCTCCCTCAACACCGGGGGATTGACGCAGCCTTGAAAAGCGCCTCTAGTGTAGGCGCTGAAAACACCCTTGAAGTGGGGCTCTAAAAAATAGTGGGGGCAAGAAGCCCCGCGAACCGTCGTGAAGGCGGGAGCCGCGAACCATTGCGAAGGTCGGAACCCGCAAAAGTTTGCGAAAACAGGAGGGATTCGTGAAGTCGGATCGTGAACCAACGCCCTTCTTCCTTCCTTTGGTGACCTCCTGGATATAGGAAGTACTTTTTGGATTCTTCTTGTTTTCCCACCTCTTTCTTTTGTGTAGAAGTTTCCTTTGTCCATTAAGAGTCTATAAATACTTTTTGGATTCTTCTTGTCTTCCCACCTCTTTCTTTTGTGTAGAAGTTTCATTTGTCCAGTAGGAGTCTATAAATACTTTTTGGATTCTTTTTGACTTCCCACCCCTTCCTTTTATGCAGAAGTTTCCTTTGTCTAGTAAGAGTCTATAAATTGTTGTCCTCCATATGTGGGGAGTCAGTTATTGTTGTGTTTGTTTTTAGATCTCTTGTGTGGAGTCTTTTTCCCTATTTTAGGGTTGTATTCGAGGAAGTAGTAGTGCTTCGACTGAATCCTACTCCGAAATGGTGGTGTATCCTCTTCTTTCATCTTCCCCAATCCGTCTCTTCCCCTCTCCTTAGCCGCCGACTTCTCCCCTCTTTCATTTCCTGCACTCAACTGCCCCATATTTGCATATTTACCTTGTTATCCAGCCATCCTCTCTCCTTTCCAGCACTCCCAACCGATTATTCCTCACCCCACTACCACTGCACTTGCTGTCCAGCACCTTCCAACCACCCCTCCGCCTGTCGTCGTTCAACTACGAACCTTCATATTTGTTGTCCCTACAATTATGCATTTTTCCTCTCGCTGCCACCACACCCGCTAGCCATCCAGACCCACCTCACCGGCCTCCATCACCCTTGGAATAAACTTGAGAGGAGTTAGTTTTTGACATTTTATGTTTTGTGCTGTTATTTCTTGTTTGTGTCATGTTGTAATCTAATTTTAATATTAATAATAGCTTTCTTTCATGTTTTCACTATTTTTCGTACTAGTTTCAGTATCATATGGTATCGAGGTAGCCCGCTCTTAGTCCCATCCTAGGGTTTCTAGCATCCGCCCCACCCAAGCCACATCCACGCAATTTTTTTTTTCCGTTCAAACCCCAACCCCTAAACATGCCACCGCAGAGAGATAAACAAGCTCTACTTGGGAAGAGATCCAACGAGAAATTCATTGTCGGCAACTGATACTAGTCGAGTTGGATGACGGGAACCAGGAAGAGATTACCTTCCACCGTGATCGAGAAAGTCGAGAGGAAGACGGGGACGAGGAATATCGACCACGTCATTTTGGTATCCAATATCAATGGAGGCCAAGAGAAGAGGCCCCTTATGGATGTCAGCGGGACTTCTGCATAAAGATGAACCTCCCAGAAATTGAGGGAGGTATGGACCCCGATGAGATTATCGACTAGCTAAAATCAGTTGAACGGACTTTCGAATATAAAGATGTACCAGAGAACAAACGAGTCAAGCTAGCTTCCCTTAAACTAAAGAAAAATGCCTCCTTATGGTGGAAAAATCTACAAAAATAGAGAAGAGAAGTGAGAAGATAATTAAGTGGGAAAAGATGAAGAAGACAATGGAGAAAAAGTATCTCCTACCACAGTGTCACTAGGACATGTTCCTAAAAATTCACAACTTGCAGCAAGTGAATCTTTCAGTTGAGGAGTTCATAACCTAATTCAACCACTTGAAGCTAAAGTGTGGGCTAACAGAGCCAGAAAAACAAACGATCGCCATGCACCTCGAGGGTCTAAAGCCCGTCATTAGCAATGGAGTACAACGACAACCGTATTGGACATTAAGAGATGCCCAGAATTAACATTGAAGGTACAATGATAGCAGAAGCAAAGCAGACAACAATCATCCTTCAGGCAGGAAGTCACCTACAGTTACCATGACCGACGTAGGCAAGCCCGAACAAGCGAATAATACTTCGGATCAAAACAAGAAGAAACAAAAGAAGGATAGCTCCTCCAACAAGATACTTTCTAGGAAGTTCTACCGATGCCACGACTACGACCACATAGCCTCCAGCTGTCCCACGAGCAAGGTAATTATGCTCACAGATCAAGGCATTGTGGAAGAGATGAGCGACAAAGAGAAAGCTGAGCAATAGGGTGATGTGCATCAACTCCCACCAAACAATGGAAAAGCGCTCGTGATTCGATGAGTGCTGCAAGTCGAGGATAGGAAGAATCTGAAGTGGCTTCGTCAAAACATATTCTACACTCGCTGCACAGTAAAAGGAAACGTATGCAACCTCATCATCGACACTGAGAGTAGTAAGGAACGTGGCATCAATACAGATGGTAGAGAAATTGGGGCTTGCAACTCAGAAGCACTACAAACTTTATTCACTGATGTGGCTGAAGAGGAGAATCACGTCAGCATCAACCAAAGATGCTTGGTAGAGTTTTCGATCGGAGGTCAGCTACAGAACCAAGTGTGGTATGACGCGGTTCCCATAGATGCATGCCACCTTTATTGGGAAGACCGTGACAGTTTGACTGGAGGACTTAACACGATGAATGCAAGAACACACATTCATCACCAAGGATGGGAAGCAATTCTACTCCCTTCGGTGGAGCCTGAGATCACATGAAACCTCACCAACAGAGCAGCGTCAGTGGGACCTGTGTTAGTGATGACACCAATTGAGAGGACTAAGAGACGTACTCCAAATACATCACAGATACGACCGACGTTATTTCAGAGGCTCATGATCGACACCACACCACCACAGGATGGGAAAGTACAAGATGCTCACACTGCACATCCGATTGAACCTATCGTGGGCTACTTCGAGAAGATTCAACGGTACAGGCATGGTTCACAGCTCAGGAGAACGACTAGAAAGGGGCACGTGCTCAAAAAAATGGATAGACTTCCACGTGACATTGAGGGACAATGCAGTCGACAGTGGGATCCAGGTGCCACCAGGATTAAAGACAAGAATCGGAAGCTTCGACGAATGAGGTCGAAGCTCACTCAACATCGGGAGATTGACGCAGTCTGGAAAGTGCCTCTGGCGTAAGAGCTGAAAACACCCTTGAAGTGGGGCGCTAAAAAAAATGGGGGCAAGAAGCCCCGCGAACTGTCCTGAAGACGGGAGCCGTAGACCATTGCAAAGGTCGGAACCCACAAAAGTTTGCGAAGACAGGAGGAATTTGTGAAGTTGGATCGCGAACCAACATTCTTCTTCCTTCCTTTGGTGACCTCCTGCATATAGGAAGTACTTCTTGGATTCTTCTTGCCTTCCCAACTCTTTCTTCTGTGTAGAAGTTTCCTTTCTCCAGTAGGAGTCTATAAATACTTTTTGGAGTTTTCTTGCCTTCCCACCTCTTTCTTTTGTGTAGAAGTTTCCTTTGTCCAATAGGAGTCTATAAATTATTGTCCTTCATATGTGAGGGAGTCAGTTCTTGCTGTGTTTGTTTTTATATCTCTTGTGTGGAGTCATTTTTCCTGTTTTAGGGCTGTATCTGAGGAGGTGGTGGTGCTCCGACTATATCCTACTCTGTAATGGTGTTGTATCTTTTTCTTTCATCTTCCCCAATCCGTCTCCTCCCCTCTCCTTAGCCGCCAACCTCTCCCCTCTTTCATTTCCTGCGATTAAACCACCTCATACCTGCAGCTTTACCTTGTTATCCAGTCAACCTGCCTCCTTCCCAAAACTCCTAACGGCTGTTCCTCACCCCACTACCGCTGTCCTTGCTGTCCAGCACCTTCCAGGCTCCAGCCACCCCTCCGCTTGTCGTCGGTCACCTACGACTCTTCATATTTGTTGTCCCTACAATTCTGCATTTTTCCCCTCGTTGCCACCACCCCCGCTAGCTATCCCGACCCACCTCGCCAGCCTCCATCACCCTTGGAATAAACTTGAGAGGAGTTAGTTTTTGTCATTTTATATTTTGTGTTGTTATTTGCCGTTTATGTCATTATTTCCCGTTTTTGTCATGTTATAACCCTATTTTAATATTAATGAAAGTTTGCTTTTGTGTTTTCACTATTTTTCCTACTAGTTATGGTATCGTGCCTTCTCTTAGGAGTGAAAGTGAAAGATTCTAACTATTTTTCTATCATAAGAATTTCGGTTTTAATACAAAAGAAACACTTCATATAAAATGAAACTAGGGCACAACTTATTTGAAATGGTATGCAAATAGTGCAACAGGAAAGACCAGTGTGAACAATATTTATTGTATTGCAGGTGTTGCATTACTATCTTATTATCACTACACTTCAATCTTATTAGTACTGAATGAATTTCTTGCTATTAATCTAGCCTTTGATTAAAATCCGCAGGAATAGGATTAACTAATACATTTTAAACATAAGGATAGGTGGAGAAAGTCAAAAGTTAATTGGACAAAAAAGGTTGGATAATGAGAATGAAATAGGCTCATGGTAAAACAATAGGTTTGTTTGGGCTAATTTTTATTTTTGCTTTTAGTTTAAAAACATTTTTGTTTAGGGATTTTTCTTTTGCATGTTATTTTATTTTTTTTAAGCAGATTAGTTTGTTTTTAAAAATGCTCAAAACATTAAAAAGTTATTTTAAGTATTTTTAAAAACAGCTAAACATATTATAATATATCAAATATTCAAGTAAAAAAATAAACACAATAAAATAAAAAAAAATCAAAAGTGATCCTACACGGCTCTTCAAAAAATAAGCATAATAAATTTTCATGTACTGTCTCACGTAAAACATAGAATAAAACTTCACAAAAAGATAAATGAGATAACCTTAGCCAGCCCTTCTCCTTCATTTTCAGCTAGAGCTTTTGTGTTCGCCTTGAAACTTGTCTTAGCAACAAGGACTTCAAATCCCTCTTTCTCAGCTTTCTCCCTAGCTTGAGGCTGCAAGTGATCACAGGCATGGCATTAAAATAAAGCTTTTTCAAATTCATTATTAAAAGAAATAAAACTTAATAAATGTAGACCTTCTCAAGTTTACTTTGCATTCTATTATAACGTAGATTAAAAAAATCAACAACTTCAACATAGGTGCATTGCAAGCCCATCATGAAGCCCATCAAAATTATTCCAGATGTTGAGGGAGAAGGGCGCGACGCAAGTGTATGAGGCAAAACTGTAAACCAATTACCAAGCATATCATCAATATTCCCAAAATTGGTGAAGATGCTGGGTTGGGCTGTGTCTGGAGGATGGGGGTTGATGTGCTAGTGTTACTCATAACATGACCACCAAACCTTGACCCCTAAGTGCAAAAAAATTACTAGACAAAATGTTTTTTGTGGCCCACTCAAAATCTTTCCAATTAACTACTTTAGTTGGTAGAATATATGGCTATGAAAAATAGCTTATATTTGGATGGATGCAATAAACAGGACCATAATTTTGAGTTCTAATCAAGCTTTAAACTTGAGTTATGTTTTGATTTCAGACCTCGTCAGAGTTTTAGTTTCTCAGTTTCATATAACCGTCATTTATAGTAATATGTTTTGCTTACGACTTAATCGCAATTAATCTTTCTGATGACGCTGACCTAGACTCCCTTTAGTTAGGTCTTACACCCCACCCACATTCGTTGATTCAATGAACATCTTGTAGATCCTCAGTGGTCCCTTAAACCATTCAAATGGGTGTGGTACCATCCCAAATGGGTATGGTACCATCCAAATGGGTGTGGTATAGACAGAAAGACCCTAGCTGACTTCACCCATCCAAATGGGTGTGGTGCCATCCAAATGGGTGTAGTATAGATAGAAAGACCCTAGCTGACTTCACCCATTTAACCAACTAAGGCTTTAAAACACACAATTGGTTTCATCCTCAATACTAGAACACTTCTTTGCACCTAAGGAACAGATTGGACCCAGATTAGATAGCCAAGCGTTCACCCAACCTAACCTAACCCAATAAGCTCAATTAAACCAAATTACTTAAATTGGCTCAATCGACCAAGTAGACTAATTGATTCAATCCTAACTTTGAAAAGTTCAGGGAAGCATTCCTATAGGAGCTACCAGTGTCATTCAGATCCCCTTTACCTAAACCCAGATGAAAGTCAGGCAACATCCAAATTGTCAAGTTAAGCCCTATTTAAATGAGTTCATTAAATCACTCTATATTACCTTGTTATTTGGTAGTTCAAGGTTGCAAACACCATGAATTCTCACCCATTTGCAACTATCAACTTATCTTAGTCTAATTGTTGATCGAGCTCATACTCTATTTTGCCAAATTACCTAAATCACAACTAAAGATGAAAGAGACTTGAAATGGATAGTCGTTGTTTAGGGATCGAGATAGGATACAATCATTGGCATCAATTTCAATTTAATTACTAATTACTAGGGTTCAAAGTAAATTACTAAATAAACCTAGGAATAAAATACAAAGTTCCCAACAATTTATAGGGGCCACCTGATTAAAAATCAGATCTTCCATATTACTTATGCATTGTCCCCTTTGTGGGACCTGACAACAAACTCAACCCTAATATCGAGGTACCAAGTATGTGCAATCATACACCATAAAATATTGATTGTCCAAATTATACCCTTTAATACGATAATGCCAATTCGACAACTAATTAGGAATTTTTTTTAAATTCTTTAAAAGGGAGAATAAATGAAAATGAAAATAAGAAAATTTAAAAATAGGTAAAAACATTTTAATTTTTATGAATTTATAATTTAATCAAAATTCATCTTTTATAAAATGTAGGTTGTATTTTTTCTTATTTTAGATGCTTTTAATGGCACTCAAAAAATCAACAAAGCTCAAAAAATATGGAAACTTCAGAAAAATTAAGTTCTAAACCTAAATACAAATTTAGTTTCAAACTTAACATAATATCTATACATGCTTCATGTTTGTACTTTCCTGCACTATAATTATAGAAGTGCAGACTATTAAAATCATATAAAAAATCTTAGAGAATATATACAATCACATTAAAAACACAAAAAAATACAAAATCCATTCAAACACCTAATTTTATTATAAGTTACAAAAACCGAAGCTAAAACCTATAAAATGTGCAAATCATTGAAAACCTAATTGTCATAATGTATGAAGCACAAGCACGTATGAACATAACATGAAAATAGAGATAAGATATAATTGCAAAAAATTAGAACACGACGCACCATGAATATGTTTTTATATTTAATAAATTATTAATATAAAATGTATAATTTTTACTATTCTCTACCAAAAAAAAAATGGCATTATGAAATATAATATTAAAAAAATATAAGGATAAAAATAAACCAAACATGAACATTAATTATTTTTAGTTATCTCATGTTTTGTCAATATCAATATTGTTTTCATAATATTCACAAATCTAAAAAATAAAAAATAATGACATTCTCAAAATAATGAAAAAAAAAATGATTGCATGAGCATCTCTACTTTAAGTTATCAATAATGAAAGATAAGTGTTTACAATATTTGGATCACTTTATTATTTCAGAATTAGATTTTGTCTAGTTATTTATCTTAAACGAGCTCTAAACTGTTGCTCGACTTGACTTGGTTTATTTGCAACCCTAAGAAAAATCCGTTCAAGCTCGAATAGAGCTCGAATTGAACATTTGAGATAGTGTTCAACCTCAATTCAATTCAATTAATTCAAGTTCAAGCTTAATTTAAATTTGACTTGAGCTTGGTTCATTTTATGATTATCATGGCTTTAAACAAGTAGCTTGTTTAGCTTTATTGAGTAGCTCATTAAAAGTCGAGCCTCTTAAGCCTAGGGACAAACATATTAAGCCTAGTAGGCCGAGATTATGTTACTAAGATTTGAAATAAAATTTTTATTTAAAAAAACTTTAAAACAAAGTTTTAATATTTTAGTCATACCATCTCGCTCATATATGCTAAGCAAAAATTAAAAAAAAAAATAAAAAAAATAACCCCAAGGCTAACAGCCCACATTACACAGGGATGAAGAGCTTGACCACTAGCTCTCTCTTCTCATTGAAACAGCAAATGACTAAATCCCCTTATAATGTGAGACTAAATGAAAAAAAAACATTAAAAACTTTAAAGCTTCTCATGAAATTTGAGTGAGAATGGCATGATAATGACTAAAATAACATTTTATATTTCTAAATATAGATTTATTTATTGATATTTTTAATAGGTTTGTTTGACAATAATGAATCTTCACAAGAAAATCTATGCATAGGTTTTTATTCATTTTCTTTATCTCGTGTTTTAAATTGAATTTTTAATTGTTTTTATTTTTTAAAATTAGTAATAGAACAAGAATAATTTAATTTTGAATTAAACTTTAATCATATTTTATTTAAATTAAATTTTATTTCTAGTTATACTTTAAGTTAGGATTTAAGAAAATATTGGGCTTTCATCGAACCTCTTAAGGAACTTGTTCCAAGCTATAAACGAAACTGTTCATGAACATTAATGATCCGAACAAAAAGTTGCTCTAGCTTGTTCATCTAAAAATCAAGCATTTACAAAAATGTTCAAGCTAGCCGGCCTAATTAATTAGAGCTATAAATGAATCAATGCACTTGATGAACAAATCAAACTCATCTCAATTAATACTGGATCATGTTTGTTCAATATAGCAAATAAAAAAGTTTGAACACTTTTGTCATGTAGTTATGCCCTTTAAGCCATCTTCAATATTGTGATATGTGAATGTGAGTTCTCATGTAAATTTGTTAGTTCCTAGAAAATAGATGTAAAGAAGTACATCAGAATGAACCACAATAAGGAGTTACGATAGATTTAGATCAAAAGATGAAATTCCTAAAGTTCATTTATTTTTTAGCCTTCATGTAAAATTTAGCGAATGGATTGTACTTTATTGACAGGCCTAATTGCCCAATTTTTTAGTTTGAATCAAAATTGAATTTAGGCAGACCAAGTAGCAATTATGAATATTGAGCGATGAATAATTATTTATTTGACATGGTTATTTACATTTCAATGCAATATGATTGTCTTACATTTCCTTTTGTAATGCGTGTGGCCTGAAATTGAGCGGTTTTAATAGGCCGGTATTGTTAGGCAACTTTAAAATCAATCAAAGGGCATTGCTTTCAAAAATAATAATAGTAATGTACGGTTTCTATCAAAATCTATGGTTACAAAACATATAATAATTGATCCCGTTGTATTTCTGTGAAAAAAGAAGTAAGCATATTGAATTGATGTGGGGCTTAAAAATAAAAGATCAATTTAAAATGATACATAAAGTCGCCATATACAATTATGTTATCAACTAAGAAAAACAATGAAAGGAGGAAAAGCAATATAGTCAATAGTGAGATACAAAAGTGCAAAAGCATATCCATTAACTGATGTCTCAATTAAGGCACATATTACTGGATGAAACCACATTCATAATGAAGCAAATGTCACTTCAAGTGGAAGATTTAGCCTTACCTCAGTGAGCCCAACCATACTGATCTCAGGATGGGTAAAACAGGCAGCAGGGATGCTTAAATGGTTGAGCACATTAGGCTTGTCACAAATAGTTTCAATAACTACATAGCAAAAAGCATGCACAATCAAGTAAGATGTTTCTGAACACAGAAGAATAACGATGCTTTTCTTGACATTTTAAGGATCAACAAACCTGAGATCCCCTGAGCACTGGCAGCGTGAGCAAGCATCATTTTACCATTGGCATCACCAATGCAGTATAAATGAGGAACCTTCATAAATTATGAAGCAAGAAATGAAAGATATTCATTATTTTGGGCAAGAAATTAGGAATTGCAACTTCTCATTGATATAGATATATAGCCAAATAACTCAAACTACAAAATAACAAAATGAATTATTCAAATTAAGCTCAAAATGGAAAATGAAGACTAACAGGATTGCCATTTGCATCGATAACTTGCATGTGTTGGTCAACTGGAACAAATCCCCGTTGTGTAGTGACATTTATCTGTAAATAATAAGAAAAAGATCAGAAACAATTTCATCTCAATAGCTTTTGTTTGAGTTAATCATAGAAATTTTAAAATAACTTTAAGCACTCACATTTTCTAAGCCAAGTCCATTGGTAAATGGAGCTCTACCAGTTGCGATGAGAGCTGCATCTACCTGTACATATTTACAAATGAAGAGCAGCGTAAAATTTGCATTAGCTACCTTAGGTCTGCTTAAGCATCTGAAATCATATATCAATGTTTTTAAGGTAAATATAGGAATTTTGATACAAGACAACCTCTGCTGATTTTAAAATTAAAATTTACTAATTCTAATAGTTATGGAAATCAGACCAAAAATTTTACAAAAGAAACCAGAAGAGGAAATATCAATGCAAAGTCCAACTTAGCAATTTATAGAAGACATGGTCGTTGAGCAAGATGCAAAACCTATAACATCTATTATAATAATAATAATAAATAATATCATAAATAAATATAAAATTTTAACGTAATTATAAAAAAAAATTAATTGTTGATTTCATTTAAATTGTTAATATAGTTGTACCTATGAACTAGATTGGCCTGAGGAAAAGGATAGCAAACGACTCGGTTAAGGTGAGTAATATGTTTTTTTATTTTACAATAGTTATATTTATTTACGCATGTTTTTACTGTTTCTAAGCTTTTATTTTTAAAATGCAAAAGTCCATGTTTACTTTTAAATGTAAAATGCAAAATAAAAAAAAAATAGAATAAAATATGATTTTTGCATGCATATGGGAGTCACCCTTCGATAGTACTAGCAGGGAATGTATTGTGCATGTGCTCGAAATGGAAATGGAAATGAAAATGAAAATAGAAATGAAAAAGGTTGTCTACTTTTATGGTGGGTTGGAAAAGGTTAAACACAAATTTTTATAAAGTATATGTTTAAACGGTAACTTTTCATTATAAAAAGTGTAAACTAAATCAATAAAAAGAAATGAATTTTATTTTATTTACTGCTCTCTTTCACTGCATAGTTTTTACTATTACCACACTTTAAAAAAATAATAAAAATAAAAAATTATTGTAATTTAGAAACATTTACCTACTGAGTAGTTTTAACTTAAACCATAGTTAATGTTTTTACGGAAAAATAAGCTATAGTAGTGCAAGCGGTTAGGTATTGCAGTTTAGTTTATTTTTATATAAATGTAAATGTAAAAGTTTAAATATGAACAATCTATTGCAAATTTAAGTTTTATGAATCAAAATGCTATTTTGTGTTCTGGATTTTATTTTTTTAATAAAATAAAACTGTTAGATAAGTTTCCTCCGTCCAACCGTCAGTTCTCACCTTGATAATTTCAAGCTCACCAGGTCGGATTGTGACATCTATAACAATATGATGTGAGCAAAAAATTTAAAATTTTATTTTATCAGGATATTAGTCATTTTATGTTCTTTATATTTCAAAATTTTATAAGGATTAGTCTAATCATCGCCATTAAAAGTATTAAAAATTTATTAGCAATGTTTTTCTAGTTTAGTGGCTTTTCAGTTTGTTAGCAAATTGTTAATCATTATAGTTTGTTAGTTTGTCAGCATTTATTTCTCATTATTCACCTCTGCATGTAGTCCATGACTTGATTCAATCGAACCCGACCAAAATGATAGGGTATCGATGCGGCTTCATGCAATGGGATTCAAATGCATTATATAAATCAAAATCGCTAAATCATCACCCACTTCATTAAACTAACTACTCCAACATACCCATAACACAAAAAAAAAAACCTAAAAAGGACACCAATATGGGCAAATCACAAAATGAGAAAATTGAGGAGATTAAATACATGCATGAGACAATAACAAAAATCCTATGGACGCAAGTAATAAATTCTCACCCGAGTCATCACAAAAAAAATTTTAAATTTTTCCTATCATATATTCCCTCAGTCATCCGCCCATCCCTCATTATGAGCCACACATGCACCTATTGTAATGTCATCCTCATACTGCAAAACCCATGTGAATCTTCTACATAAAGAAAATCCTCAAACCTACTTATACATTCATTTGTCAGTTTCCCACACACAATGCACCCTTCACTTAGCCCTTTCCCTTCTCCCTGAATCAAATGAACAACAACCTCTCCAATGACTTGCACGAGCTCCTCATCTCAAAGTTTTTGAACCAATTTACACACCTATCACACGAGACCAGGCTCATCTTTCCCCCATTCATACACATGACTCCAACTCCCTCTTCTATCACCTGTTCACTCTGGATTGCATGCATGATGACAATCACATGATCTCACAAGACCCCTCTCTCAATAGTTTACCTCGTCTCTTTCATCAATCCTCCACGTCGCTCTCTCATCTTCTCCACCTTTCACTCCAACCCACAAACCCTCATCAACACAAAAATGAAGAATTTGCTATGGGAGCTCGCCATCAAAGACATTGATGGGGCCAACCACATGTGAAAAAGAAGAAGTTGACAAGGCATGTGCCTTAAGTTAAAACAACTCAATGCCCAAATATACTGAATATGGGATTTAAGTTGAAACAAAGATGAGGTGAGATATAAAATTATGAGGGATTTAAACTTGTGCTTGCGTTTTGACAGGACAAAGTCAATTAATGCTTAAATCCTATTAAATCTCTACTAAAAAATAGCCATCAAGTGTTCCACACCGCTGACAACTCTTCAACACACTAGCTTCATCTACTAACACCGACAAACAACTTCAGCCACCAACTCCATGGAAGTAGCACCCCTCTTTCTCTATCACCCTCTGTTTCTCTCTAGATCTTAATCTCTACCTCAATCTCTCTCTACACCATCCACTCTTCTTTTCCAATCATACTCTCTCTAATTCTCCCTCCTTATTCTTTCTTTTTGTCTCTCTCTAACCTCATCATTCTCATCATCTTCAAAATCCTCTTTCTCACCCTCTGTCTCTCTATGTCAACAAACACAAACTTATAAAAACAGAAAAAAAATAGAAAACAGAAGAGAAAAAGAAAAACAAAGAGAAGAAAAACGAAGGAAGAAAAAAATCTGGCAAAATAAGAAAAAAATTGCATATTTTTTCACACAAATTTGTTGTTTTACCCTTCACTGTTATTAGTGCCTTGTGTGCGTAAGTACAATAAAGTATGAGTAATGAAGCTATTTTATGTCCGTAGAATTTTATTTTTATTAGGAATGCTTTGGTAAAATCATTGAATTTGTCATCAATTTATCAAGCAATTTATTAGCATATTGTTAAATATGTTATTAGTTAATTAGTAGTTTGTTATCAATTGTTAATTTTTAACAATTTGTTAGTAGGTTCTTCAACATTTGTTATTCCGAGTATCTATAAATATTTAATTTTTAAGTCATGCAAGGCAGTTCATCAAATGAATGACATCTCTGCTATGGATGAGCAGGCTCTTCACCTATCACGACTTGATCATTAATCAAGTGTGAGGCTTCAGAAAGTATGAAAGGTTACCGCCTAATATAATAGTAAGAGTTGCTCATATCTTTAATTATATTAATAATTTTATCTATTTCAAGTTGCGTATTGCCATTTTTAGTTTATTTTCAAGGTTGGGGTGTGCCACCATAGCCAGGCTGGACTGGAAAATAAGCTTGATTTATTTCCCTAGGATAACTTATAGTGGATAGCAGTTGAGGCAATATGCTTTAGGTTGATCTAGCCACATTGTTCAGAACTTCCCAGTTCATAAATAACGAATTAAGCAATAAGTAATTTGAAGCTTCTTCAATTAGATAGAATTGATAATAGCATAGCTATGGTGTTGGACTAAGTGGAAATCAGAGCATGATCCTTTTGGTATCATTATAATTCCCAAATGTTGTATCTAAGTACATCCTTTATAAGGTTCAACACTCACCTGATATAGCAACGTAGCAGGCCTTTAAAAAACAAAATTTTCCTCTAATGATGCATATCACAGAGTTTCAACAAATTTGTAAAGATATATGTGAGAATGGCCACACATGTAATCCGAGACAGTATGTATCGTATATCCAACTGTTTTACTTAATGTCCAACACAAAAGTTAACAATTTATGAGTATATCAAAACCAATCATGCTCAAAACATGGCAGTGATGAATTAAACAAAATGAAACATCCCTGCATATGAATCAATTAATTATAATGAAATGTGAATAACATTCCATATTGTCAGATATAAAAATTCTTAAGCTGATCCAAAAAAGATTTTGGACTTGCCCACATGGAATCACCAAAAAACAAAAAGCTCCATATATTATGCATGCTTCACCTCCACTAAACCCAAGTACCGAAAAATGTTATAAAACCTCAAATACACTGTTATAAGTACAAAGTTATCAATTATGACACAAGTCCATAAATTTCAAATAACAACCCTCAAGGTTCAATAAATAATATTTCCATGATAAATTCTTCTACATTAAAATGCTAAGCACAATTTAAAATTAGAACAAAAGCATTAACAATAACGCACCTCCAAGATATCCTTAGGTTCCTTCGTTTTGGCATCTATGAGTACAATTTGAACAGGTTTGCCATTCTTAGCTGGAGTGATCTACACACAAATATGAGATCGGTATGCTGATTACCTCAAACAAGCTTAGGTTCAAGCGTAATAAAACAACTGAAAATATAAATGAGGGATTAAAGAACCTTCGTAGCAAATACTCCAGTATGAAAATCAATTTTTCTGGGGTTGATGAGGATTCTTTGAGCCAACTTTCCAATCTCAGGATCAAAGCCAGGCATAAGTTGATCTAAAGCTTCAACAAAAGTAACCTGCACACTACCCATGTCAGTCAGCATGTTTCAAGTGCCAACCTCCATATAAAATCAAAAAGGTACAACTTAAAATGTCAATGACATAATGTACTGGAGAATAAAAAAATATCATTCTATAATAATGAATCTAAAATAGAATTGTTATTCACTTGAAAATGTATCCAGTATATAATAGCATAGATGTTAATCACTTCATAGTTGGTAGGTAACTGAAAGACATCACTTACAGAGAAGGTTAAGAACTTAGGTACTAGTAGGAGTAAAAAGGAATCCAATATGGTAGAGCACAACAAGAATATTTCCTTAGTTAAATGGTGGAACCCTATGTAATTATTTCGTAGGAATAGTTTAGGTTTTATTGCAGCTTCCCAAAAACAAGAACTTAAAAACTTCCCTCACTTCACTCATCTCCTAGAAAAATCTAGAACTACAACATTTTAAGATGGAAAATTCACAAGAAGCCATCTTCTCATCGGGTATGACAATTGATGGAAAAACCTACAGTTCCAAAACAAGGGGGCCGCTAAAAGATCCCTTAATCACTATACCCTACTTCAATTGAGAATTCTAACAAGTCGCACTCTTGTTTCTGTAATCAAGCCACTCTTCTTGCTTTCAACACCCATTATCTTAAGAAAACAGCTGCTAAAAAGCTTTATCTTGGTAAAGAAAAACATGCTGGAAAATATAATCCTAAAAAGACCTATTGTCATAAAGTTTCACGTTATGCTTGTAATGAAGAATGACATTTAGCTACGGCATGTCCTAAATGAAAAAAATCTATATAGCAAAAATCCTATCTTAGTCTATTGTGTAAATACAGATCTTACAGATCTAGATTCTCAAATATCTGGCACTTCCTCAATCTACAGTACTGTGACGCGGGGCTCCTGGGCCGAACCGGCCTAAGGCGGGACTCTTGGGTTGAACCAGTCCAGTTAGAGAGTGCAGGGGCCGACCAACCCTTTACTTGGTTGAAGATTGCTACCAAAAGTGAGGGGTCTTTCCATTTCTAGTTATCTACTACTATATATATGTTATTTTATGTGATTAGGGTTCAATTTTTGGCTTTAAATATTTGTCGTCGAAATCTTTCCCCTTTTTAGGGATGTCTCGGAGGACAGGTGGTGTTTCGGTTGTATCCTGCTCCAAGGTAGTGATTATCTCCACACTATTCCTCCCCTTTTCCACCTTGCCTGCTTGTTGCCACCTTCCATGAGCAACCCCCCCTCCGCTGTCATCATCTCCTCCTCTCGCTGCCGGGATTCCAAGACAACTCTCCTTGTTGTCTCCTGCAACCGCGACCACCTTCCCTGCTGCCTACTACCTTCCCTTGCCTCCAACCAGCCCTCCTAATGTCCACCTCCATCTTTAGCCGCAAACCCTCCACATCCCTGCCGCTGTCACCCTTGCTAACTGCTGCCTTCTCGCTGCAGCCTATTCCCCACCATCCAAGCTTCATACTGCAACCACCCTGCCACCTGCTACCGTCCATTGTAGGCAACCCGCCACAAGCCATCCATCAGCTCCCATTAAACCTCCCAACCTTCTTACCACTCCACCTAGCCTACTCTCCACCGTTCAGCCTTCCTACTCACCCTCCACCATCCCACCATAGCCCACTTTCCAGGCCACATAACCGATCGCCGTAGGGGAATACAGCCCTAGTGAGTTGAATGTTGTGTTATTGTTATTTCCCTCTTCCGTGTATGGGTAGTAATAGCCTATTGGCTCTTTCAACAATAATATTTGCTTGCTTCTCGTTGTTTGGGTTAACTTTGGTATCAATTGATATCAAAACTAGCTAATTGTATACTAAAATTTCCTAGCATCTGTAATACACAAACCATCTGCACTCTAAAAATTTTCTTTACAACCCTCAAACACGCTCTTCCAATTCCACAAACTTAAACTATAGTTATGCCACCAAAGAGACACATGTAGAAACTTGCTCGGGAAGAGATACAACATGAGATCAGTCGACTTCAGCAACAACTTACAAAGTTGACGATGAAACCGGGGGAGATTACCCTCAATCATGTTATAGAGAGTCGAAGAGGAGAAAAATAATAGAATTGGAGCCCCTTCCATGAGGAGGACTTCAGTGGTTAGGAGGACCAACCATGACGCTTCGAAATTCATTATCAGAGAATATTGGGATAGGAAGCAACGTATGGAGGACATAGAAATTTCAGAATAGAGGTGAATCTACAATTTAATGGAGATATGGATTCAGATGATTTTATCGAATGATTGAGGTCAGTTGAAAGAATATTTGAGTACAAAAAGGTACCATAAGGCAAGAGGGTAAAGCTCACGACCATTAAATTGAACAAGAGCGCATCTTTGTAGTAGAAAAATTTGCAATGGCAAAGGCGAGAAGTGGAAAAATTTGCAGTGACAAAGGAGAGAAGTGGAAAAATTACTAGATGGGAGAAGATGATAGATGATATGCAAAGAAAATACTTACCTCATCATCATCGCCAAGATATGTTTTTGAGACTGCATAACCTATAATAGAGAGACAGGTCAGTGGAGCAATTCATGACACAATTTGACAAGCTACAGAAGAAATGTGAGTTAGTAGAGCCAAAGAAACATTTTATAGCCCGATATCTATGGGGCTTGAAACCCACTATCAACAAGGTTGTGCAACTGCAACCTTATTGGTCATTAAGAGATGTCAAACCTTAGCATTGAAAGTTGAAAGGAAGTAGAAATAGAGCAGACAAACACCACCATTCAGATAGCCACCCGCAGTAAGGGACATCAGCAGTAGCATGCCTCAAAGAGTTAAGAAAATTAGTCGGAATAAGAGCACGACCACTCATAGTGAGAAAAAGCCTGAGAATAGTAACACGCTGGTTACTCTCTCAGCCCGACAATGCTTCAGATGTCATGAGTTTGTGCACATCGCCTCCAGTTGCCCGACGAGTTGATTTGCGTCCTTTACTAAGCAGGGGGTGGTCGAGGAGGTTAGCGATGAAGAGACAGCTGAAGAACAAGAAGAGTACCATCTTCCACCAGATGAGAGCGAAATACTTGTGATTTAACTTATCCTACATACCAGGGATACAAGAGAGTCACAGTGGCTTCGACACAATATATTCTACACCTGTTACACTATGAAAGAAAATGTATGTAGTCTCATCATTGATAGAGAGAGCAACAAAAATATGGAGTCCAAGCAGATGGTGAAGAAATTGAATCTCCTGACTCAGAGTCATTCCCAACCTCATTCTTTGAAGTGGTTGAAATATAAGAAAATATTTAGCATTGACAGAAAGAGTCTAGTGGAGTTTTCAATTAGAAGCAGCTGCAAGATTAAATATGGTGTGATGTGTGATGAGTAGCCTATAGATGCATGTAACCTTCTTTTGAGAAAATTGTGGCAATTTGACAGTAGGACTCAGCACAATGGGTTCGAAAATACGTACTCTACCAAGGATGGTAAGTGCATCGTCCTTCTGCCTTCGGCAGAGCACAAGGTCATGGGTCTCTCGTCAGCAGAGAGACGTCGGTGTGATCGATTTTGGTGATGATAGAGGATGATAAGACTGAGGCGCCGATTTTAAAAGTAGAGCAACCCGTATAGAGAGAGTTTCATCAAATATGTACTTGATAGCTTACCTCCATGGCTATCAACATTTAGGGAGATTCAAGCTACCCTCACTTTAAATCAGGTCGAGTCATTCTTTGGTTACTTTGGAAGGATTCAGCAGTATAAACGTGACACGTAGATCAAATTTAGTTCAATGGTGAGTTCCCAGAAGATTGAATTGATATGAACAACTGCTTGCAAATGGGGAAGGCTCCTTAGGTGTCTTGGAAGACAATGCAATCGTCAGTGGAATCCAGGAGCTTTTAAGGCCACAGTTAAAGAGTCTTCAGCCCCGAGAGGTTACAACAGCTCCATCACCGACAATGGGAAGATGGAAGCTTTGACGAACGATTTCAAAGCTCCCTCAACCCCGCGAGACAAAAGTGAAGCTCTTGAGCTAAACCGGGCGGACATGCGACCTTGGAATAAACCTATTCAACTAAGGAGTGCATGGGGTGGCCCAACCATGGACCTGGTTTAGGGTTGTCGCCCAAGGGGAGGGGGTTTTTCTCATCCTAATTATCTACTAAAATATGTGTGTGTGTGTGTGTGTGTGTGTGTGCGTGTGTCCGTGCGTGTGTGTGCCGCCAACCGTGACTAGTTGGTGGAGCAACCTCTTTGGAGGTCTTAAGTCTCCTCTGGTCACTGGTTTGAATCCCCCTCTGGCCAGTTTGTCGGTAGTTAGGGCGGTCCATGAATAGTTAGGCACATGAGGGTGGTTGGAGGCTCATATAATATCCTCAAAATTGTGAAGATACACGAAGGTTGTATGAGAGGGCCCAATAGAGGCACCCTACCCATAAGATACCAAGGATAGAAATACAAGTATAGTAATATCTCAACTAAAAGATACAGATAAAACTCAAAAAATTAAAATTTGCAGAAAACAAGTAGCTAAGGACGAGCCAGTTTAGTCATATCTCTTCCTCTAGTTTTAGGAGTGGAGCCAAATAATAAACTTTGAAGTGCGTGTCATTGCCCAGAGTAACCAAAGTATCATCCATTAAGTTTTCAAGTTGGAGTGTGCCCACAGCCTTTTTCTTTTATCGAGAAGTGTAAACCTGTCATTCTTCATGAGAAGATTGGCTTATGTGATCATCGGTCTGATTAAATATTAGAACCGCAGTAGAAGGAAAGACAGTTGTTGCTACAGCGATAGGTTCCAGTGTATGTGAAGTGTGAATTGTCACCTCTAGTCTTAGGAGCAGAAACAGATAACAAACTTTGAAGAATCGTGTCATTGTCAGAAGTCACCAAAGTGCCATCCATTAAAATTTCAAGTTGGAGTGTGCTCCCAGTCCTCTTCTTCCGCCGAGAAGTGTAAACCTGACAATCTTCATCTGAAGACTGACTCATGTGATCCTCTTTTTGATTTGATGAACGGCAGTAGAAGGAA